GGTTGGTGATCTTGATGCATTAAAACGCAACATCAGAAGAGTTAAAAAGGGGGATACACCTGTAAATCCAAAATCAATACCAAATCCTCTACATGTACCAGACGAATACACAACTACATCACCAAGTGAAGATCGCGAATTTTTTATATACGACAATGAATCAGAAACCAAAAGGATTTTAGTGACATTGGATTATTAATTATTAACTAACGCCGATACATGGTATATGGACGGTACTCATTCTACGTGTCCAAGTCAGTTTTCACAGCTGTTTGTGATACGTGTACCACTAGGGGCTTTTTTGTGTCGTCTGTGTATGCCCTTCTACCGTCTTAAAAGTGACTATGAGGAGTGTTTGTCAGCCATACTTGATATATGTCTGCCACGTAACCTTAGACCAAACCAATCAACTGTCGTCCTTGTCTACGAGGTCGCTATCCACAACGCAGTAAGATCTGTGATCAGCAAAAACATTCTCAAGGTTGTTTCTACCATTTAGCTCAGTGTAAATTGTGTAAAGTCCAAGAACTTGGCCTCTCTTCAGAATACAAATCTAACCCTGAGACCAACCACTTCTGCGGGACGACAGTCTAGCATTTCTACCCATCAGCAGTGTCAAAGATGGTATGTTATATCTTAAAGAATCAGTCCCTGATAATCTCAATCAATTACTTGACTACTTTGATTCTACATATGTGCATGGTCCATTTATCCCTGGAATAATGGGTTCCGAGTTTTGGTTGGCCACTCTAATCCATCTATCTGGACAGTCATCAACTGTCTCCAAAAAGACTGTGCCATTGAAAGACTGTGCCATTGTAGAAACAGAGGAGCTCAAGTATCAATGTGGTGAACTTTCTTGTAAACGTGTTAAAAAACAAACAATTGTGCATCAGCAGAAACTCAAAAGAACTCATAACAACTCATCAACAAGGAAAAGACTGTACCTTGGTTTCTTCAAGCTATCGGCCACTGTATCCGCTTAAACTAAAGTACAATGAAGGAAAATAGACTCAACTGAATAAACTAGATGGTGTACGGACATAATCCCCTTTGGACAAAATCCTCTTCATGTATTTTTGTATATCCGGACATAATCCCCTTCATGGGTGCACATAATCCCCTTCATGTGTGAAATTTTGAAGTGGACAAAATCCCCTTCATAAAAATGCTACCAAGGACAAAATCCCCCTCAGAGGAATTTTCGGTTTATAAAGTGGGTATGAGAGCGACATATTGCATTATGCTGTGTAGTAAATATCTTAATGTATAAATAAGTAAAAAATATTTCAGCAGAAAAGCACATTCAATTAGCAACATTTAAATCACATTAAAATTGCTTTGTTAAAGCATTCATAACAATCAATCAAGTAGTGCAATGATCTTGGTTTGATTAAAGTATCACTCTTTCATCAAAAGAAATTGTAACAATGGATAGTATATATCAATTAGAATTATCACCTTATGCAATCAATGTAACAATTATTTGCTAATAAAAATGTTTTTCATACTAATCAATTTAAAACAATTAAAGAAATTGCCTAATCAAATATGTGTTATGCAGTTGATAATTAAATTTTACCATAATTTTAATGAAAACTTCAAAACTAAATAAAGGTTAACTATTGATACATAATTATAAATAAAAAAACAAAAGTTCCTTATTCATCAATTATTAGGGGGTATAATAATACATTATTCAATCATCAATTTTTATGGAGCATAATAATACATTAGAAACCTATGAAACAAGGGGATTTTGTTCGGGTAGTGAAGGGGATTTTGCCCACCCTTGCAAAAAAATGAAGGGGATTATGTCCACTCATGAAGGGGATTTTGTCCGGGTAGGTGAAGGGGATTTTGTCCGAAGGGGATTATGTCTGACATTCAAACTAGAAATGTGCTATACAAAATGTGCTATTCAAGGAAATTTATAATCTTTAATTGATGAAAATGTGCTATATTCTTAATTTATAGTAAGTAAAGTTTATCTTTTATATAAATAAATTGAAGAAATGAATTTGAAGAAACTAGAATAATAATGGATAATAATTAAGTCAAGGTCATAAATGTGGCACAGTCTCAAATAAGTGACTACTCTTTGATGTTGATTTAACAGTTTGTAAATTGTTTGTATAAATCTCATTCATTGTATTATATTTACTTAGACGAAAACTGTACACACAGTAAAATCATGTGTAAAGTTTAAAAAAACATATTCCGATTTCTTCAATTGTGATATCGGTCTCAAGCAGGGAGACCCGAGCTCGCCTCTGCTGTTCATGCTCTTCGTTAGTGATATAATACAAAACATAAACACTGACATAGATGATATATTTAGTCTAAATGAACAAAAATTATTTCTCATTCTATATGCAGATGATCAAGTGCTGTTTGCAATGTCCCCTGAAAGTTTACAGTCAATGTTAAATGACGTTGTTGTTTATTGTAATACTTGGGGTTTGAAAATAAATACGTCAAAAACCAAGGTCATGATCTTTGAAAAGGGAAGAACCACAAATTTTTCTCAAATTCACTGATTTTACAGACATTTCTAATGCTTAAAAATGACACTGACTTTAATAGACATTACGCACGAAATAACTGGGCGTACCATATCAAGACTATACTAGATAGCCATGGTTTTAGTTATATTTGGGATCACCAATTTGAAATCGACATTCCTTTCGATGAAATTAAGAAAAGAATTTATGATTCATACATGCAAACATGGTATGGGGAAATTAATAATTCAAATCGACTTAATTCATACGCGATATATAAACATGAATTCGAGCTTGAGAAATACCTTAATATCATCTACGAAAATAAATACCGAATAGCATTAACTAGGTTTAGAACTTCGTCACATAGCTTAAATATTGAAACCGGAAGATATAATAACATCCAAAGAGAAGATAGATTATGTAGGTTATGTAATATGAATCAAATCGAATCGGAATACCATTTTCTTCTAGTTTGTCCTTTTTATCGTGATTTAAGAAAAAAGTATTTTTAGCCTTACTTCTGTCACTGGCCAAATATCAAGAAACTTGAGTTACTATTATCATCACGTTCGAATAAAACTATTTATAATGTAGCTAAATTTAATATACTATGCGAATCTAAGTCGCGACGCGTAAATAAAAGTTCATACAGCATGTTCAATCTATAATTAGTTTAACTCACGATTTTTTCCCGTATTTAGTTGGTTTACTACTAGATAGAAGTATTTTAAGTATTTACACGCGCACGATAATCTCATTTTACGCGCGGGAGGTATAAACAGAAACCTTGTGTAGCTGATTCAATTTATATTTAAATGACCAGTCTTTTTTCTTGTAGTTTATATTTAAATGATCAGTCTTTTTCTTGTATCAAAAGTAAAATATTATCAATTAAGTATTAATCATAATTGATAATCATGTACTCTTCTGTAAACCATGTTCTCTTTGTATATTATACTCTGTATGCTAAAAACATTGTAAAATGTTTAATGTTGAATAAACTATTGTATTGTATTGTATTGTATATTGTATTATATTGCTATTGAAAATAATGCTATATGCTATAATTATCAATACAATCATGTTTTGTTCTTTGATTAAATTTTGTGTACAGTTTGTAACACCTTTTTTGCAATCAAAACATCAATAAATGATATGTTTTGTTCTTCAAGGGTTTGGATTAAGTTTTTCGTGTACAGTTTGTAACATCTTTATTGCAAATTGCACATGCAAGATGTACATGCATTGTTAATAAAATTGTTCTTTCTTATATTACACACATGTTATATTGAAATAAAATGTGAAAAAAATGTGTATATTATATATATTCATCAAATCTTGCCCAATAATTAGTAAGTGTGGGGTTTTGTCCACTCTGTAAAATTGAGTTGTGGGGTTTTAACTGGTGAGGTTTTGTCTGTCTTCCAAATAGATACCCTTCTGCTAAACTAGAACTCCGCAAGTTTGATGTGTCGCCTTGTGAACATGATAGTTTAGGAGAAATGGCCAGGACAAAAATGAAATATGAAAATTAACAAAGGGCAATAACTCAAAAAATAAGAAGTGCAGAGCAGCAGTTTCTGTGCACTGCACTTCTTATCATTCTATCTATCATTCTATGAAGTTTCAAGTCCACATCTTTTATAATTTATGAGAAATGGCCTGGACAAAAATAAAGAATGAACATTAATTAATAAAGGGTAGTACATGTAACTCAAAAATAAGAAATGCAGAGTACCGCTGCTTGTGCACTGCACTTTTTCTTAATGAGATTTATCATCCTATGAAGTTTCATGTTCATAGCTTTCATACTTGAAGAGAAATAACCTGGACAAAAATAAAGTATGAAAATTAACAAAGGGCAATAACTCAAAAAAATAAGAAATGCAGAGTACCGGTTCTTGTTCACTGCACTTCTTCTTAATGAGATCTATCTTCCTATGAAGTTTCAAGTCCATAGCTTTATATACTTTCGGAGAAATGGCCCGGACAAAAATAAAGTATGAAAATTAACAAAGGGCAATAACTAAAAAAATAAGACATGCAAAGTAGACTCTACCGGTTCTTGTGCACTGCATTTCTTCTTAATGAGATCTATCATGAAGTTTCAAGTCCATAGCTTTTATAGTTGAAGAGAAATGGCCTGAACAAAATTAAAGTATGAAAATTTACAAAGGGCAATTATTCAAAAAATAAGAAGTGCAGAGTACAAAATTTACAAAGGGCAATTATTCAAAAATTAAGAAGAGCAGAGTACCAGTCCTTCGGGTTATTGAAAGATGCATACCAAGTTTGAAGTCAATCCGACTTATAGTGACTGAGTTATAGGGGACGCCGACAATGACGCTGATGCCAACACCGCAGACGCCGACAAAAGTAACCCAAGATATAGATATGTCGCCTTAATTTGTAATGGCCGGATGACTGAGCTAGAGGCTAAGGAAACCATGGTAGATCTATATGAAATTAATTTTATTGTAAAATTTTATTTACCTGGTAAAGGTATTTCTTTTTCTTCACTTTCTTTGAAGTTTGTTCCAAACATTGCTTCAAACACGGACGAGGCTATGGCTAATATGGCCTTAGTGGCATAAAAACGCTGGTCTTCCACGAGGAAAGTGACGTCATCCCGCCAAGTCTTCATCGTGAAGTCATAGCTCTTCATTTCTTCATCTTCTTCGCCACTTTCAATCTGGTTAATCATGACTGTACGAAATTTCAACATAAAAATTAATGAACTTCGTACATAGCGCGCTAGCGTAGGCCTACAGTAATGGTTCTACAATGTATTTATAGAAAAATGGAAACTCCTCTAAATTTCAGGTGATTCCGCTTTGTCAGCTATGTTTGTTTTCACTAAGTGGGTCCAAAGTGAAAGTAGGCCAAAATTCATATAACAACTGTATCTTTGGGCCGAGCTGGGGGACTGCAGCCCTGAAGCCCGTGCCTGAATCCGCCACTGCAACAAAGCTCATAAAACAGACTTAAAACTGGATTTTGCCATTCATGAAATGTGCATAAAACTTTGAAACAGATTGTACTTGGTCTTCAGAAATGTAGCACATTCAAGGGAAATATTCTTATTGTTGTCATTTTTATTTTTAATAGTCTTTAAAATATAGACCTGGAAGTGAACTTTCAAATGGTTTACATTTTACACTGTGAGCTTTGTTGTTATATATGAATTTTGGCCTACTTTCACTTTGGACACAAACATGGCATCACCTAATAATCGCGCAAATAATTGCGTCTTGTATTTATTTTAAAGAAAAGGCGGTTAATCTATGCGAATACGATTTTAAAAATACAAAAGAAAAGATACATTATATTGTTAACAAGCTGTATTATCTAAAAGAGACCTACTATTTTTTTCCTGGCACCTAACAAAGGGAGATACTACACGCAAACAGGACATTTCGGCCCCAAACAAATCGGACCCTGTGCAAAAATCGGCCCAAAGAACGTTTCGGCCTTTTTCCGCGAGACGTTTCGGTCCTTTTTAATTACAGTTTTATTTATGCAAACAGGGAATTTTTATGCTTAAAATCGTTTAAATTTTTAGTATATTGATTGATTGATCGATTGATTGATTGCACACAAACAATTATGATATTTTAATTGATAATCCATTATAATTTATATATCTATCAATCGCTATTTAGATAAATGCTTTTTTCAAGGTGTAACAAAAACTACAACTTAATAAAAACACTCAATCTTTAATTTATAAGACATTTGACAAATGCAAAAACTTTTTGATAAACAAAATTAATTACAAATATACATTTGTAATTCAAAAATCATTATCTTTTGATCTTTATTAATCATAAAGCTAACACTTAAGATATATGTTGTTTTGATTTTTCAAGTTTTAACAAATTCATTATGTATAGCGTATTGCTAATTAGCCGTTAGTAATATCAAAGATATTTTAAACTTATGATTTGATATAATTTCTTGATAATATATATGCTCTGATTGAAAATCTATCACTTTTATTGTAAAAATGTTTTTTTTAATATAAAAAATGTCTGTTTACAAAGTATTTTTTGTTTTATCTTATAATCTTTTAACTGTTATATGTTGTATTGTAATTGCTAAAACTCACTTACTATTAATTTAATAGTTGTTGATTATAAATGAAATGTTTGTATTGTTCTGTGTCTTGCTTTTTAATCGTTCAAATCTGAAAAAAAAACTTGTTGATAATAAGCAGATGAAATATTAAGTTTCAGTGTTCGTGTACTATGTTTTGTTTAATAAAGTTATGTTCTGTTCTGTTTGTTTTGATAACTACTATTTTAAATTAAAAATCATAATTTAATTATTCAATTAATTCTCTCATTCCTTTAATTCTTTCATTTATTTATATGCTATTAAAATTCTGGTAAAAGCATGTTAAGGTAAGACGTATTGTTAACTAAATATGGGGCCGATTTGGTAAAGGGCCGAAACGTCTTAGACCGAAACGTCTGGAGCCGAAACGTCTTGGGTAATTTGGGCCGACATGTCAAGGGACTCGACGGTCTCCTCAAAATTGACGGTCTCTG